TCTCTGAGCAATAGGACAATGCTGAGCAGGATGAAAAAACAACAGGAATATATGAACACTAGAACTGGTTTTGGTGCTAGGGATGGAGCTATCTGCACCCAAATCTTACAGGAAAAGTAGCTAAGCACATAGCTGCACAGCAGGAAAACCTTACCAGATCAAAGCACGAGATGCCAAGGGCACACCTCAAGCTGTGGGCCAACATAGTGTGAAATCTGGCACAAATCAAATCATCACCATCCTTATCAGGCACATCAGCTGAAGTACTGTCTTTGGGCAACAGCTGGGCTGACCCAATTTATGCTAAATTTTGTAAAAACACAAAAGAAATGACAGTCCCAGCTGCAAATTAGAAAAGCACAGCTTGACTCCTCACCCCTGAAAGATGCACCCAAACCATTTCCTATTTTTAAAGCAAATTGATGAAGTTACATTACAAAAATCACAAAGTAGTGATGTCTTTGCTGTCTTCTCTATTAAAGTCTACAACATAGTTCACTTTAAACTCCAGCAAACAGCCTGTCAACTTCTATATGTTTTAGCTTTAAATATTACCTTTTGTGTCTCAGGCTCGTTAAGCATCCTGTGATGCCCAGCATATTTTGAATTTAGGAGTATTTGACACGATAATAATAAAAAGATCTGAGAGACAGATCATATGAAGCTGGGCTGTTTCGAGGCCTTTCATCCTGAGAGCGATCTGGTTCTGGGCATGCAACCACTGCCCTCATGTGGTGCGAGCTGGGCAGGACCTGCCAGGGTGAAGCCTGCACCCCGTGTTCCACCTCTCTGCGCATCTCTCCCTTGGTTCCGGGGGTGTTTCCTGGGAATCAGCTCTGACTGGGAACCAGCAGGGGCGTTTGAAGAGCAAACAAGTAGCAGGCTTTTTTTTTTTTTTTTTTAATTACAGAAGAATTCTTCGACTTCTCCTACAGTTCCACAAAGAAAGACAAAAGGTGAAAACATTTCAACACTGTCATTTTAAAAGGCTGAGCAGGCAGGGAGAGGTCTGGGTGCCACTGGACAATGGCACTTTATAACCACTGAGCTGCTTGACTTGACATCTTCTGACAGCATTCAGAGCACAATTAAAAGTTAAACACAGTGAGAACAAACACTTGGAGAGCGATGGTGAGGAAAAATGTGCAGGGAGAGAGGAAAAGAGGCAATTGCTGGGCAGCTTTCTCCTGCAGTTCCTCAAAATTTCCATGAGCCTTGCCCACATGTAAGACCTGGGCAGCACCTGCATGCTCCTGGGAATCTTGCAGCTGCCCCAAACAAACTGAATCACACACAGCAGAGCAGTACATCTCCTCTCATAGCACAGCAGCACTCTGTGCCACACCACTGCCCTCTCAGCAATGCCAGCAGGGCTGCAGGAGATGCCATGGAGACACACACACACACCCCCAACAGCTCCCAGCACAGCTCTGTCTCACTGCTTTCCCCTCTCCCAACCTCATCAGGAATGCCATAGCAGGCTCCAGATCTTTTGTCAGCGCCTTTCCAACCTGACTCCCAGCCCAGAAAACCAAGTTCCTAACCCAAAGTGAGCAGGAAGGATAATGCAGTCAGCCCTGGCATTCCTTTCCACTGCCAGAAGCATTTCCAGAGCAATGGGGCTGGAGAGGTCAAGTCCATGGAGCTTCAGACGAATGGGTGCAATGCAGATGTCCCTGCAGCAGACAGAGCAGCATTGCAATGACCTTCAGCAAAGAAGCTAAAGCTTGGCCATGACGCAGTCAGCCTCCTACCCTGAAAGACCTTCCCAGTCCTGAACCAGGGAGAAAGGGACCACAGCCCCATAACAGTACTTATTCAGATAGTTTCCTTATCTAAAGTGCTTTTTCAGACCCAGGCTTAACATTCCGCAGACAGAGAATAAGATTTTGCCAAGGCAGAAAGATTTCCTTGATGCAGAAAAACTGAAAAGGGCTCCTGCTCAGCACATGCTTCCAGGAAGGGATGGAGCAGCAGGCAACCCCATCAATGCCCTCATGGTCTGCACTCCCATGTATGTAGGTAATAGCATTCACTTTGCTCTGGTTTAATGTGTTCAGCCCTGTGTGTCTAGAAACACACACTCAACCTTGAGTGCGGCTCAGGTCAATGTGCTCCATAAATAAAGGGAAAACATGCAGAGGAGTAAGGGAAGTGCGTCCCACGTCCAGCCAGGGCCCAGGGAGCAGCAGGGGACCACCAAAGGTGGCCTCCACAGCAGCTGGAGGAACAGCCTTGGGCAGCCACCTCTTCAGTCCCTCTACCTCCTCAGCACCAGCCACCAGCTCCTGTGCACGTGTGCTGACAAGAGGAAATCACAAGATGAATCACAAAAAAAAAAGGATGTGCTTTTTTGTTTCCTGATAAACTGCTTACAAAAGGACTTAAGTATCTTCCCAGCCTTCCTATAGAGAGATTGAGGTACAGCCAGAAGCATAAGCATTTTACAACACCTGTTAAGAATGAAGTACCCATATGCATCATGTTTTCAAGCGTTGGTTCAGCAGTACCTTGTGGGCAAGAGCTCTTATGCCCATCATTACTAATTCCAAATGAACTTTTCCCCCACTTTGACCATCTTTGCCCTCATATTTGCTGTGAGGTTAGATTCTGGAAAAGGAAGCATACAGAGTAAGGACTGTACAGGCTAGCAGCTGTGTTGCTGAAGTGAATGGAGCTCCCATTTGCTTGGTGGGACTGAGGGTTTGAGATTGTGACTCATGCAGTATTATTCAAACTTTTGAACCAATCCCATCCTCACCTTGTCAGCTGCCTACAGCAGGGATGAACTTAATTTATCTGTCATAGCACCACTCACTCTGTCAAAGCACCACCCTATGCACTTCATATTTAGTCATAAGTACTCTAAATATACTCTACACATACTCCATATGTACTTCATATTTAGTGATAGGATATAATTCTCACAAAGGAGGGAGCCTGAAACCCCACCCATTAACTATATGCCTTCAGTCACCTAGATTTCAGCCAGAACTAAAGTCCAATTTAACACAGATATCTGTTGTAGCACAATGGAAAGCAAAACAAGACTGCATAGCAGCAACATCCAAGGCTGCAGCAACTGAGGATCTGCTCAGACACAACAGCAGTGGACACAGAAACAAGAGAAAGAAACTGCTTACTTTTGGAAGGACTGTAAGGTCCTCACATCAGCAGGGATTTCCAGATGAGGTGCATTCATTTCCACCACCAACCCTTAAATGAGGCCTGGGGAGGATCCTGGCTCCACCCCTTCTCATCACTCAGGCACACTGTATGCAACTGAGCCCCCCTGGGTTGGCCCCGCCTTCCCACCAGGTGCTCAATCAGTGGTTCAGGCCATGCCTCAGCATTTCCATTACACTTGTTACTATTCAAGCACACAAGAAGGATCAACCGACATGAGATAAAGCAGGTAACTGTACACTTTGTAATACTGTAAATGCCTTTTTCTTCCTACAGGATAAGGTTCCCTCCTTCCACACTTTGTAAAGCAATCCAACATCTGAATTATTATGAGTCACTGAAACCTCCCAGTTCCCAAAACTGTAGCTACCTGCAGTAGCAATTGACCAGATCAATACAATGGTAAAGGTGTTACAACAGAGCCATGCTGACAGAAGAATCAGCACAATAAAAAGATGCTATAAAAGAAGGGAAGAAAATTGCTCACCCATACCAGAAGATTCCAGGTTCACAGGAGAAAGTTTCACCAAGAAGGGATCTCCAACCAGAAATCCTTCCCCAGTGGCAGTCAGCCCTTAAATGAGGTCTGAAAGAGGTGCAGCCAGGCTTCACTCCTTCTGGTCACACAGCTGAATTGCCTTCACCTGTGCTCCCAGGGCTGACTGGGTCCTTTCCCCAGGTGCTCAATCAGTGGTTCAGGCCGTGACTCAACAGTTACCATACACCCACGTTAACAGTCTCTCTTAGTGTTTGACTCCAGGAGCACATGGTACGTGGATATAGTGCCATCATAGTCAAACAAGTCACAAAAGCTGATTCGTGTAACTGTATTAAAAGCTAACTGTGGGACAAAGAAATGAGTAAACAAGCTTGATAGCTACTTGCGCCAGACAAAAGCATGCACGAGGCTCCTGGGTGACCCATGCAACCCACGGGGTTTTGCACAGGTATAAAAGGTTGTAAGCACATACAATAAAGGTCTTTGTTCTGCACCAGCAATGGAGTCCGACACTCTCCTGCCACAAATGACGCCCAAACAGGGACCCTGTATCAGAGTCAGCCTCAGGAGATAATCAGCTCTCAAGCTGACCGGTGGCAAGGAATTAGGTCTGCTGAAAGGAAGCACGAACTAAGGTCCGCTAAAAAGAAGTTGGTCTCTGTCTGAAGTTGCTGAAAGGAAGCAAAAATCATGCTGAGAGGAAGCGTGACCCAAGGGCTGCTGAAAGGAAGTTGGACCTGAAAACTGCTGAAAGGAGGCAGGATCAGGCTGCACTGCCAGAATCACTTCTACAGGACAGAGGTGAGAAACGGGGAACAATGGGAACAAGTAAAACAAAAGTGCAGGAGGCAGCTTGCAAAATAATGGAAACAATTTTGCAGAAGCACCACGCTAAAGTGGAAAGCTTCTATTTAAGGTGACTTTGGGTGTGAATCTCTCGTGAAGTAGGAGTAGATGGGATTACAATCTGTGAGACAGAGACGTGGGACAAAGTGGGAGCAAGGCTGTGGGATGCAGCTACGTGCTCAGACTCTGTGACTAAAGACCTCTTGGGTCCCTGGAGATCGGAATTTGAATCACTAAAATGAGGAATCCACCGTCCCAATAATGCCCACTGCTCCTCCTGTGGTGGAAGCAGTTGTAAACGACTGAGATTACAGGACAATGGCCCTTTAGACCTCAGGCTAGCAAGCCCGAGGAAGGAACCAGACTTGCACGCTCCAGATCCACACAATGTTTGGCTTGGATCCACAAAGAAGCGGAGTGGGAGGGGGCATTTTGACATGGCTCGGAGATTGCATTTGGCTCTCACCTGCCCTGTAATTTATGAACCTAATAGGCACCCAAGATGGGAGGGGATAAGCTTGCAAATTATGAAAGAGCTCAGGAAAGCGATTATTGAATTCGGGCTGGGCTCCCCCTGTACCAGTGATCTGTCAAGTTCTGTTATGAAAAGTTACACTCTTTGTCCTTGTGACTGCAAGACCTTGGCACAATTGATTTTAACAAGTACTCAATAGATGATGTGGATGTGCAGATTCTTTCCAAAAGCCCAACAAAAGGCGCTGGAGTGGAAGCTATTAGAGCTCAGCAACTCAAAGCAGAGCATGCAGAACCTGAGCCTGTGGCTCATTTACCCCTGCAAGAGAAGGAGGATCAAACATCCAGCACGTGGGAGCTGGAGCTGCAGAAAGCTGCTGCTGAGACGTATGCTGCTGTTTGGACTCTCACTCATTCCAGCTGTTGGCATTGTTGCAATGTATTTTTCTGAACCTTTTAGCTGCTGTAGCTGTTATTCAGTACTCCAGAAAATTCTAAGACAGGCCTAACAACACTGTCTGCATTCTAAATTAGAGAACAGTGTTTGCTATAAAATGACATGCATTCTTGTGCAGTAGATTGGCAATGTAGGAAGTTTTCTCATATTTGGTTGCATAATCCAACTTAGCTAGCCAAACATCTTCTGGTGTTTAAGAATATAATGTATATATTTACAACTGTATGTCTTACCTGCACCTGCCTGGCTTTCATAATTCTGAATATGTAATTTCAGTGTTTTAAAAAATAATAATAGATTTCCCTTCAAAACTAACAAAACAAAAAACAAAAAAGGGGGAGGGGGAGATGCGCAGGTGTGACCCCTGAGAAAAGAATAGCTAAAGCATGATAACGTGGGAAAGAGGTTATGCTTCTGTTTCCTCAGGTGCTGAACCACAATGGGTTCCAGCCGAAGTCATAATGCCCTGCTTGTCTGCACCAACAGCATCTGCTGCTTCTTCAGATCTGTGACAACCTTCTGGGTATCCTCCCAGCCGAAGCCTACAGAGGCAACTGGAGAAATATCTCAGTGTCAAGCACTGTGACAACTACCTCAAAAAATTTCTGATTTGTGGGGCAAAAGGTACCTGTTGAAAACTCATGGGTTTAGTTTGATGAATGATATCAAGGTTTGTGACCATGGATCGGAAAAATGATGCAGATTAATGTGTTTTTTGGTTGTTGCATGTTTGTTGTTCAAATTAATAAAGAAGGGGGAGTTGTGGGACAAAGGAAGTTGTTACCTTGCAAATGAGTAAAGAAACTTGGCAGCTATTTGCGCCAGACGTAAACATGCACAAGGTGCCTGGTTGGTCCATGTGACCATATAAAAGGTTGTAAGCATGTACAACAAAGGTCTTCGTTCTTCTCCAGCAACAGAGTCCGTCACTCTCCTGACGCAGCTAATGAACAAGAACTCCGTAAGAGTAAAGGAAACAGGGAAGAGGCCTGCAGAGACACCAGAAACCACCCCCTGCCCCACCACACTCTGCTGATCCTCCTCCCTTTACCCTGGGGCCTGATGCTAGGATCCAGGAGTCTCTTTAAAGCTCTGTGCATAAATGGATTAGCTTTGGAAAGCACTTCAGAAGAAAAAGTATTTGTCATTTTTAATAATTTCCGAAGAATTGTCCTGCAATGCGGACAAGGGTCTGATAAAAACAGGCATTGCAGGTTCCTATCTTTCTTGGGATTAACTTACAAAGCACGAAAATGCAGAACCAAAGGGTACCACCACTGCAGACTTTGCACCAACTTAAAAAATCCTCTTCTTCCTCCAGAATGAGGACTGATGCCTATAACAATCTTTGATCCACAGCTCGGTGTGCCCTCACACACGCTTGCCCATTTTTGATGGTTACATCCATCTTCAACATTTCATACTCTCTGAACAGTAAGTTAACACTTCAATGATTCAAACATTCAACTTTTTTCTATAAACCCTCTCAGGCTTTTCCTCACCATACCTCTCCCATCAGAACACAAGCACCTGAAAGATACAGGCTAGGAAGGGCGCAGTGTGATGTATTTTAAGAAGTTTCCCCCAATGCCCAAAACACACTGCAACAACTTTGTTACAGATCCATCTAAAAATATTTTCTCTGTCCAACGACATCAGATACAGTCATAAACATGTGATTAACAACAAGAATAAACAAGAAGCACAAACATGTTTCTTTAAACTTTATTTAAGCTGTTTGATTCTTAAGTATCAAGAGTTAGGGTGCCTCATAGAATACTATTACCACAGGGCAATGAAATGGGCATTTTCTTACTGCAGTTCAAGGTGTATTCAATGAGAAGTTTTTTAAAATAAAAGTTTTATTATCAATACTGTTGAGCACTTCATCTGCTGACCTATAACTCAAACAGTGGTTCTAAAGCACAAAAAAAAAAGCTCTGAAATAAAGCTTTATGTACAGCACATGTAGAGCTCTTAGATGCCTAAAGCTGTTAGTTTATTATCTCAAATTAAACTAATATTCTGAATTGCTCTTCATAGTTGAGCATACTAGGAATTAAGCATCCAGATTACTCTTTTTTGGAGTAAAAAAAAATTTAAAAGTTGTCTGCTTTAGTTATAAAGAGCTCTGGCAATATACACCAACTATTCACTTCAGACATTCACAAAAAATGTGAGCAAAAAAAGGGTTATCAAAAAACATTTAATACAATTAGTCAATAGCCCTCCCCACCATGGTCCACATCTACAAAGATCCCACAACCCCCCCCCCCCCCCCCCCCCCCCCCCCCCCCCCCCCCCCCTCCCTCCCTCCCCCTTCCAAACCCTTTCCCCTCAGAAAGTCACATACTTACCACGAGTTTTAGCAAGTATGGTTTAAAAAAGGGCCCCCCAGGGCAAGTCACTTATAGTTCAGTTGCCACTATCAACGGATCTGGACCTCGATCTAGACCTCTGTCGATCCACAGATGATGGCGATTTAGATCTACTGGAAGAGCCACGCTTCTGGCTCTTCTCTGGCATTGGAGATCTGCTAACTGATCGAGACTTGCTACGGCTCCTGCTCCTTGACCTGCTGTAAGATTTGCGGCTTCGGGAACGGGAACGGCTACGAGACCTGGACGAGCTTCTGCTACGAGACCGCGACCTGCTTCTGGACCTACTGAGGAAACAGCGAGCGTCGGCGTTAGCACTACAGCAAGCACGCAACCCACTGTCTCCAGTTCTGTTGTCTGGTCATCAACTTCAGAGCTTTCTTAATTCATCATCATTACTTAACAGATATCCATACCTGTGTCTTTTGCTGCCTTCAATTAGTTTGATTTTTCTTCCGTTAATTTCTTTACCAGAAAGCTTTTCAATAGCATTCTTTAAATCACTGTAAGAGGCGAATTCAACCACCCTACAGAAATTCAGAAAGAAAAAAAGTCAACACAGCTCACTATTACAAGTTGTATTTTTAATGATACAGTAGATAAATGAAAAAGTACTCTGGGAAGCAAAAAAAATTGAACTACTCAAAAAAACTCCATACTGCTTGTAGTCATCCTGTGTCATACACTCAAGCACAAATTGAAGAATCCCCCTCCCCAGCTACCACAGACTGCACAGCCTGCACGTTTAAAGGGAAGCTAAATTAAGCCATGAATTCATAACTGCTGAGCACTGGAGTAGCCAGCTTCCCTCCCCAGGCATCTATATAGCACACACAAAAATTACTCCAAAGCTTTCAAGAGAATTTGAGGCTTACCCTTCATTTAACTTAGGTCTGTGTGCATCTGCAAAGGTTACTTCCCCAGCTTGTCTCATGAAGTCTTTGAGATCCTAACACAAGACCAATAATGTTATGCAAAGAAGTGAAAGTAAATACTTACATATATATTTATATACAGTTGCTTTTGGGGTTGGTTTTGTGGTTGTTTTTTTTTTTTGCTTTTGTTTTTTTGTTTTGTTTTGGTTTTGTTTTATATACATATATTATTTTTTAGAAAGAGCAAACAAAAATGACTACTGGAAGGGAAGACATTAGATAAATTACAAACATGGCAATTGCCACACTTGTACTCCACTGACATTGAATTATCTACATCAGGGCACGAAATAAATGAAAAAAAGCATATTGCTTTAAGCAAAATGCTAATAAATGTCTTAACGTTAAGGAAAATTAAATTAGTCTATGAAGGTTAGATAGATTAGAGAAGGAGAAATCTAAACAACACATTCGTATATATTTATGTTAATACTGGACTGAGTGCAAAATATACCCATATACTTTTGTGCTATTTCAGTCTCCATTTATATTACGAGTCTTACACGCATACAGAATTACAATTACATAACACCATTATTTTGTGCCCCATATGTCATGAAAAATATAGTTTACTTTACCTTTATTAACATTTCCCTAGGCTAGCCAAGCAGCAAACTGTATTAAGCGACCGGAGATACCGTCATGATTTATGCCCGACTGGCTCTTCGCCACCCACTTGACGAACACTACCCAGTCGATGGAAGCCATTAATCGCACCGCCCTCCCTATTAGGAGTCTAGTGACGGATCCAGACATTCGCTATGCTTGATGTTACCAAGGACCACTTTACTGCGATCAGGATTCCAACGACCACCTAATTTCGTATCTTTCAACTCTTTTCGACCAGGATCTCTTATTCGGAAGCGTTACAGGAAGAACAGCTCTCAACTTAGGAATCAGATCTCGTTAACGCTCTGGGATCGCTGCAATGTGGCACTTTAAGGAGTGCATCGATTACGTCTAGACCGGCAAACACAGATCTAGAGGTGGCCAAGTGACATTGTAGGAGCTGACTGGAAAGTCAACCAGGCCCGACCAAGAGTGACCAAGACAGAACGATTAGGATAACCCACAGGCACTCCTCGTCATAAGGCCAACGACACAGATAGGCTGGCAAATAAAGGGTTTAATATGTGGTTAAAATGGATTTAAAAAACAAGAAAATAAATAAATATACTTCCTCAAATATATACATTTATTATTATAAATTAAAGTTAACTAGTTTTCATTTGAAACATTTAATTTACATTATTAAAAAATACATTAGTTATATAAACACTTTAATAAATTAGATTTAATTTTAATTAATCATTTAACAAAGTAATTACATTACATACCCATTAAACGAAGTCAAAATAGTTAATCGTGTTTTAACAAACCTGCCAGCTGACTCGGGACGACAGATTTTCTACTATGAGTCGGTTTTCTGTCCTTAAAGGCGGGGCACTTCTGCGGGGAAATAAACAGTTGAGACTTCTGTTCGCAAACAGCACAGCCACACTTCACATCAGCAAGGCCAACAGCTGACGTGAGCTCACCAAGAACACCATCACCACTATCAAGTGCCCCGAGGAGCCTAGGACAACACCGCGTACTTTGGGGTACAAGAGCAAAGGAGCTGAGCGGGATGCACAAACTCTGTAACACTCGCTACCCCGCTGTCCCGTCGGTGGGTGGTTAGGAAGACAGGCAGCACCGATTGGCGCTGTGCTCCACCTCAAGTTCCCAGGTCAGACAAACCCAGCGCTGTTACGGCAGACAGCGCCAGCCCCGTGCAATACACACCTCCTGTCACTGCGTGGCCGGCGGCTGCTAAAGCGGTCAGAGTACCTCCCTCGGCCTCTACCCCTAGAGCGTGCTCTTGCATGCTCAATAGTAACCCTGGAGAGACAAAAAGGAAAGGAGAAACCAGGGGTCTGTATGCTTTCCACACGTTCCTCGTTAGAGGGGAAAGCCCACAGTGGGCCTCAACGGCACTACTAACAAACCACAACTCGTAAACATATGAGACGAAGTGGGTCGGCTTGAAGCAGCGCACGAGATGGGGCAGCTCACCTCTCACTGCAAAGCTCTTTTCCATCCAGTTCATAGACAGCATCGTCCGCATCTCTCGGATCCTCGAATTCCTGCAAACCCACGGCAGCAAACACAGAATACGTGAGTGCTGAAGAACTGGCACGCGTAGCAGCTTCGTGGAGACACGAAATCCCGCCCCACGGAGCCGCTCGCACACCGCACGCCTGCCGGCACGGCCCGCCTGGGGCGGCGAGGGGCCCGGGACAGGCGCACTCACCACAAACCCGAAGCCTCTCTTCAGGTCGATGTCCCGGATGCGGCCGTAGCCCTTGAAGAACCTCTCCACGTCCTTCTCCCTGGCGGCGGGGTTCAGCCTCCCGATGAAGACGCGGCAGCCGCTCATGGCTGGATGCGCGGAGCTCGCTGCGGGAGACGCCGTCAGCCCCGGCTCCGGCCGCGCCCGGTGACTCAGCACGGCCCCGCCCCGCGCAGCCGCACTCCGCCTGCAGCCGGCCTCGCCCCCGCGACGGCCCAATAGGAGCGAGCCAGGTGGAGAACGCCCCGGCCTGCGCCAATAGGAGCCCGTTTGCCCCCGCGTAGGCCCGCCCACGGCACGCCCCGCCCTCCTCAGGGCCGCCGGCGCATGCGCGCGGGCCCCAAAGCGGAGGGAAGAAAAGCGAACGCTATCGCTCTGCCACAAAATGGCGGCACTGGCCGCACCCAGCGGCGTAAGGAGCCCCGGGTGAGCTCGGAACGGCGGAGAAAGGGCCCGCCGGGCGCCCCGCGCGGCAACGGAACCCCCCCGGCCGAGAGCCCTCCCGACCCGGCTACCCGCAGCAGCCGCACAGGGAGGCTCCGCGCCCTCCACCCCTCACGAACCTGGGCCGCGGATCCCGGTGCGTGCGGTCCGCCGGACGCGGGCAGGCCGATGCTGCGCGGGCGGGCGGCGCTCTGCTCCCTGCGCGGCGGCTCGCTGCCGACTGCGCTCCGCCCCGCCGCTGCGCCGCAAAATGGAGGCGGCCCCGCGCCCGGGCCCCGCCCCGCCCGGCTGCGGCACCGCGCGGCGATTGGCGGAGGCGCTTGGCCACGCCCCCAGGGAATCTGGGTCGGGGGGGGCGGAGCTGCGGGCCGCCGAACAGCTGAGATGGGGGCGCCTCCTCTTCCCGAGGGCGCGGGGTGCAGAGGCTGAGCGCGTCGTGTCGGCTTCAGCTCCTGCTCGATTTACAAAGGGGGCGGAGAACGTAGGTAATAATAGGAAACAGAAGGATGGAGCGGGTTACGCTATGCTGAAGTACGGCTCGTCATCCTTAAACTCATTGAGGTCACCAGTGAACCACTGAGGAAGCCGTAGCACGGCCCTGAGCACCTTGCTGCCAGTAGGTGCGCTGATGCTTTCAGCGGCAAGCTTGCCTTCAGAGGTCAGAGAGACAATAGAACAAAAGGTTAAATAATCAACGTATAAGCACTTTCATCCATTAAGCTGCTAAGCTGCTCACACCAACAAGCAGGCCCTTGGCAAGCTGTTTCAGACCAATCCAGCGCTCCTTATTGGATTACTAATCTGTGGAGAAGGGGAAAAATACAGATGTGTTAAACCTGGCTGCAGGAAAAATTTCAGTGCTATGGCATATGGCATTCTCTTAAGCAAACAGGAAGATGCCAGGATAGAGCTCATTGTATGACAGAAGCACAAATTTTTCAGCATTTGCATTCAGAATAGCTCCTTGACAAATTCAAGGACAACTCCTTTGCAGAATGAGGAAGCCCTGCTCAGCACAGGGCTGTTCAGCACCTGCACTAACAGTTCTAAGCAGATCAGGACACGCGGTGCTAAAACATGCAGGAGAGTCAGCCTGAGGAGAGATTCAAGCACTGTGAAGACGAGAAGAGAATTCAGAAAGAGTCTGACAAAGAAAAGCAATGATTCAACAAGATGAAAATCTGCAAGGACAGGGGCAGGCTATGTTTAGGAAGGCTGATCCACTGGGACAAGGTCAGAAATACCCATCTGGGAAGCAGTAACAACGTACAAAGGCTTGAGTTAAATGTAAAAGTAACTCAATATATAAACTGGCATTGCAGAATCAGCTAAAACCTATTTTGGGATTTGTCTACACATATGGTATCCAAGGGAGAAGCACTGATCTGCCTCATGATAGTAAGGTAAATTTTAACAATAACCTCACAGCTTTCGTGTGGCAGAGGAGTGCTCAAATACACATATGGTTCCCATACAGTTCATGAAGAGAATTTGATGGGAAAAAAAAAAAAAATCACACAAAGTTGTCTGTGATGTAGTAGACTCCAGATGTAGCAAAGCTGTGGTATAGGTTACTTTGAGATATCTTTGAGATATCACAGCAAAACCCCTTGCAGAATGCTGGAGTGCTGTCAGTACTGTGTGTGGTTTTTTGTGTTTGTATTACCTGCAGTGCTTTTCTCCTGTCTTTGTGTGCTCTTCCAGCCTCAGCAGGGTGGTATGCGTCCCATCACTTGTGGTTTACACCTTTTTAGGTTAAACTAAGCAAACTCATTAAGCTGTCATCACAACAGACTTTGAACAAGCTGTTATCTTGCACAGGTAATACACAGTGTGAAGAATAGAACTTACACACACACACATATGTATACATATATATGACACCCTGTCTCCTCTAATCTTCTGAGAGGTCTTGCTGGGAAACCAGCTGCAGTGTAACCATCCAGTAATTATGCTCTGCTCTGCTGGCAGAGGAATAGCAGCGAGGTTCACATCTGCATCCACACCAGAGAATTTACCTTGGAAGAGCCTTGGGGCAGAGCTCTCCTGCCAGGCACTGTGCCCCTGTGGGACTTCTGGAAAAGGGAACAAAGGCCTTCACCCAGCAGTTCCAATGGATTCTTGTTAGAAATGCTTCTAACCTCAATAGCTCAATGACAAACTAGCTCACAGCTGTTTTATTTAAAGTCTCATTGATCTTTCTCTGCTGGGAGCTTATAATGAATAGCAGACCCCACGTCACAAATATTTTCTGTGGAGACAGGCAGAGGAAAAACACTGGGACAAGGCGAGCTTTCTTCAGTGAGCAGGGAGGAGGGAATCCCCCTCAAGCATTAATATCCCCATTTCCCTCACCAGACTAGAAAGGAGACATGTAAAAGTTTTAAATAATTTTTTAGGTTATGGAATCCAATAAAACAAGAAAAGTACTTTGGGCTTTGGACATTAAAAAATACATATATTTTTTTTCACTCTGAAAATAGCAGAGGAAACTGCAAAAGCTGCCCAGAAGGGCCTCACATCAGGAAAATCTGTCCCCTCTCCCATAGGAAACAACGGGACACTGCTCCAGAGAGAGCAGCTTGCCCCATGCTATGGGAACAGGCAGTCTCCCCACACAGCTGGAGGCCTGCATCTTGCATTAAACTTGGCGCTTGGTTGCATGTGTGACACTTGTGAAAGCACAGGAGCAAACATCCATCCTTGAAAAGTCATGCTGAGCCTATGGGTGCTACTCCCAGGAGAGGTACCCCAGCACCGCATGCCCCTCCAACTAAACCCCTCCTGTGCTCCCTTAGGTTTCATTTTTCCTGCTTTATTCTTAAATTCCTGATGTCAGGGCCAAAACACAGCAAAGGCAGCAGCTGGCCTACCTGCGTGATCATGTCAGAGCCCCACTGATCTGCCTTGGACTGGAAGCAGAAGTGCAGTCCCCCAGGGCACAATGGATCCATCTCAGACCTGGTAGCCACAAAGGCAGATAAGGAGAACGTGATTATGCAGTGCGTGCTGCCTTATTCCTGTGCTTGCCTGAGGAGGAGAATCAATATCTGTCCCCCATTACCACACTGGTCGCTGCTCTGGCACAGAGGTCTCATCCCCAGCACCAAGCCCCGCTGCAGGAAATGCAGCCTCCTAGGGAAAGCAGCCACTGAAGGAGGCACCTCCACAATGCAGTTCTGCTGAAGAGTTAAAGCCCGCAGTTATAAGCTGGGCTAGCAAGATAAGAAATGCAAAACAACACGAGGGCCTGCTTCTGGCTGCCAGCATTGCTGCGGCTCGAGGTCACAGCCAGCAGAGAACACAGGCAGCGCAGTTTAATAACTTAAATAATTTAAAAGCTGTTCCTGGAGGCCACTGTCTCCCACACGGCACTGCTGGCGCCGGGCACAGAGCTCCAGTTTCAGTATGAAACCACAGCAAGATCAGTTTACTGTGTGGGAATTATTTAAAGAATAAATGGAAACGGAAAGAAGACAGATGTCAGCTCTTCCCTTGTTTAACCTGCCTGCTCCTCCCCAGAGAAAAATGCACATGCGAGTAAACAAAACTGTTACAGCATCCTTCAGACTCTGCTTTGAACAAGCTGACCAGGATGATCTCATCTCTCCCTGTCTCTCCATCTCCCTCCCTTTCCTATCCCACTGCTGACAGCTGAACTTAAAAGCAAGGGGGTCCCACCTGCACAGTCACCTCAAGGGGCAGTATTACCTTGGAACTTCGAAATATTGCACTAACAAAGGACTGCATAGCTTTGAGCTCCAGCTCAAGTTGGAGTCCATTCATCCCTCTACAGTTTCTCTCCTTGCATCAAGTTCAGATCCAACCTCAGTCCCCATTCAGGACCTCCCAAAAGGCTCTCACCCAGCCCATGTCCCACGCCATTCAACCCCCATGCTGTGTTGCTGTTGCCTTCTCCACCTCATGCAGGCACTCAGGGTTCCTGCATTTCTACCCCTGCTGCTGGAAAGCCACATACTGGTGCCATGTCCTCTTCATCTTGGCTGTGTGGCTGCTGGCTCTCTCTCAGGTAACACAAACTACAGCAGCAGGAACCTGGCCCAGCTCCTCACACTGTGACACACAGGCACAGCAAGGGATGGCTTTGTTCCCAAACAAGGTCACTTTGAGGAATACCACCCTCAGAGAGATGCATCAGCTCTGTAATCTCCTCCTCTGTTTCAGCATCCCAAGCTTCAGCATCACCCTCCAAATGGATGGCACTTCAGTTCTGCAGCACTCACTCTGATCTGCTATACCTTCAGTCCACGAGGCCCAAGCAGTTCGAAACACAGACAGATCATAGCTTCACTTCAAAAGAACTTTTTTTTTTTAATTTAGAAATGCAGTTATATACAGAGAACAATTAAATTAAACTTTGTACAAATATTAAAATACTATCTTCACACCCACCGCAATGTACAGGATACCAGAAAATATATATAAAATAAAGCAAAATAGAACTGATTGAGTGACATCCTGCACAGCATCAATTACGGTCTTGTTTTTAATCCCACATACATATGGAGTACCATTCTGCAAATAATTCCATAGTGGTGCAATTCAGAATTAAAAAAACAACCAACACATACAGGAAAAGAAGAAAAGATTAATGCACCAAAGGCAACCAAGCTCTCCTTGCATTCGCACCAGCAGCTACCAGCAGTCCGCCCACCACAGCACAGCACAGCTGCTTCCTAGGCAACTTAGCTTTCTGTTCTTTTTGAGTGGGAAAAAAAGTGAAGTTGAGAATCAGAACTGAAACGTTTTCCAGCACAACTCCATTGCCTCTGTCCGTGCCTACCCCAGGAAGGAAGCAAAAGCAGAGCCTACGAAAAGAAATGTAAAAGCGTCAGGACCCTGCTCTGGTGGGCATGGATGTGAAGGGAACCTGCAGCAATCTACCTGAAGCAGTGCTGAACATAGGGCCTGTGTGGGAAACACCCTGCACCCAACTGGCTGGGAGGGCAGGGGAAAGGGGTGAAGGACTGGAGGAGGACTCATCTCCTGTATAAAAATATGCCTTAAAATGAAACCCGCTGTAGGAAACCTCTATGCAGTTTCAAAGCATTTCATAGAGAATAATTTTTTCAAATAAAGTTCTTCGGCAAAGAAAGGTTTTCTCAAAGAACAAGTTCAACGTGCAGCTCCCCAGGAAGGGCTGAAGGCCAAGGCTGGGGTGAGGTCAATGTGGAAAATGGATAGGGGTTTATTGCATTTATATACAGAAACCAGAAAGTGAAATCAATTTAATCTGATATCTGGAGAGAATAAAAAGGCAGATGCTGTAGAACAACTGCTATCAGAACATGAAAACCAGGCTTTGCAAGCCTGTTCCAAGGTCAGCAAGGAGATCTCAGTGTCCTACTAGTTGTACATTAATACTTTTATCCAGCAAGCCTAGAGGCCTGCTAAATCCAGACAAAGCACAACTCCCTTAGAACCTGGTCATGAAGGCATTGGCTATCATTAGCCTGCAGCATACTTCTCTTATTGGCCACAGCTCTTCCTCACCCACCCCAATCCCTTCCTGCATTCCCAGTTCTGCACTGCACATCACTTAACTAACACGTGGTTACTTCCAGCAGCCCAGCCTGCTGCTCCTTCAAAGCTCTGCTCCTTGCAATTGTCCCCATCTTTCTATTGCACATAGCAGTTTAAATTTCTGACTTGCCCTTTTATTTTTTAAATATTGGATCCCAAAATAACCTACCAAAGAAAAAAGTAAAAAGTGCTATTTTTATTCTTCCACTGTAATTCATTTTAATGTTGTTGCATTTCATGGGGCCAAGCACAAATGACACAATGTAAGATGATTACAGCAGGGGCATTAAATAAGAAACGTACTTCCCTCTGAATTCTTTTTGTCAGGTGTAGGTGGGAAAAAAGGTGGAAAAGAAACCAAAGCAAGGTACCCACTATGCTGCATCTTGTCAGGCTGAGCCCCCACACACCCCATCAGCACACGGAGACCTCCCTGTGACAACAATCCTTGGGATACTCTTAGAGACAACCAAAACCCTGCAAGAGCAGGACTCAGGCTGAGGGACCCTTACATGTCAGCCCTTGCTCGCAGAAGAGAAGACAGCATACTTCAGTTTAGTTAATCTTCCTAAACCTCTGTCCCAAGGCCTTCCCAATCCTCCACAGAATAAGAACAAAAAAGTAACAATCACTCGTTGACCAGTAAATGAAATGAGTCCTTAATCCCTCTCCCATTTGGAAAAAGTTGTCAAGAAGTCACTGCTTAGGTTCCTCCCCCAACCATTCTACCCTCTTTTATATGAAAATATAAAGCATCCTGGGAGCTCCTGCTTCATCCCCAAGCAGCCCAACAGAGGCTGACTGTTACAGCCTGATCACAAGACCTATGCTTGCTTGTTTTCCTCCTACCTCTGCATATTTTTCCCAATTACTAAAGCTGTTTTCCATAATTTCTGTAAGTGAAACAAAATGAAAGCACTCCCTCTTCTGTGCAGCTTCCTTCTCTTCCCACCCAAACAGAATTTTTTTTTTTTCTCCTAAGCTGGCAGCTGCTTACTTTATAACAGCAGAGAGCAGAGGCAGGACCACACAGTACGTGCTTTCTGCTAGCTAAGCAGGCACTCATCCAGGGCAAGGTCAGCCTTGGCATCAGCTTCCAGCTTCATTAAGGGGTTCTTTCACCAAACCAGTAATGAGCCAAAAGGACTGCTCCTTGCAGGAAGGCAGCACACGCCTAACTTCTATTCCCTGATTGCTCAGGTTTGAGCAGGAAGGTCCTTAAGAATCTAAGAGCAACTCCTGCTCTGAGCTGGTTAGGTCTTAGAAAATACGTGACTTAGAAAAGTCAGATATTCTCCTCCTCAGCCTTGCAGTTGCTCAGTCTCTCCACATGCCCTGATAAAACCAGTGAAAGAGACAATTTTAATTGTTAAGGTAGGAGTTGAAAACTAAATATAAACATTTCCACTCTTGTTTTTCCAAAATTTCAATAAGAGATGTGTAAACATTATCACTCGACAGTCCTTGAATACGAAACAAAACAGCCCACTGTAAAACAACATGGGATTTTCATCATTTCAGCTGAACAAAAGAATACCTAAATCAACCAAACTGGATTTATCAAGTCCTTGTGTTAATGAAAGAGAACATGAGCAACAGGGAAGGAAAATGCTGCATTCTTAAATTATTAATATCCCTCCGAACAGGGATGAGGGAAAAATGATTGTTCCATCCACAGGCACGCACTGACCCAGCTGCCCTGGGATTAAGCAGCTAATCAGAAACAGCAGGTGCAGGGCCAGACACTGCAGCCAAGTCCCATTTCCAGGAACCAGAGCTAAGCCACAGCAAATATTACTTTATTTTTAAGGTGTTATGTCACTTTTACTAATTGGTCTGACAGCATGATCTTGGAGCAACAAGGATGAAGACAGTAAGGATCATAAAACAAAAGCAAAGCAGCAAAGAACACCCCCATTTACCTGTTCATTGCCACATGACATATCAGGCTGTGGCATTTTGCTCCTTCAACTCAAATGAAAATTTAGCAACTTCTCATACTTCTCTGGCTACTTCAGGATAGTTATGACAACATACCTGCATTTAAGAAGCCAACTTTTCCTAATAAAACCAGCTCTATGGAACCCAGTTTCCAGACCATCCCTCTAAAGAGGCAGCCCAGATCTGTGACTGGTTCACCTACCCCAAAGTAAGTTGATCTGCTGCAAAAAATGAAGTCGTCTTAACAGCAACCAGGATATTCTGACCTGCTGTAGGTAACTGTAGGGAGCAGAGGTATACATATTTTTGGATTTTCTTTTCCCTGTTACCAGAACTTAAAGTGATCTCCACAATTTATGTTCAGGATTAAGCTGTGGTATCCTCTGGTTAGTGTAGCCAACCTTCTCTTGCAGCAACGGGCCACCTGTGTTGTACTTAGAAGAGACACTGTAAGTGCTGTTGCCCCAAGCCAAAATGAAGAAGCCCTTCTCTGCGAGCCCACGGAAGCCCGTCAGGACACAACAGCAGACACTTGCTATATAGTAGCCTCTTAGGTGGTATGGAGGGCTCAAGTACCAAAATACCTAGTGCAGCTGGGAAGGTAACTCGGGACTGTGCCAATGGCACTAAGCATTCACCACCAATGGGGAAGTTTTTCTTGACAATTTCAAACACACAAACTGCTTCCAGATTACGTCTGAAAGCATTATCTCTGCCTGAAGATCTGACCAAAGGAACCTAAGCATTAGTGCAGAACCAACTTCACTTGAAAAGCTCTGTAAGACACACAGTTTATTCAGAAGAGCATGGCCACAAATTTGGTTCCATTCCCGACACCTAAAAACGAATGCTACCAATTCACAGAAAGTCAGAGCCTCCGAACTTTCTGCACACTTTCCACTGGCCATTTCCCAAGACTCTTCCACAATCTAACATCAGATGCTCTGGCACCAGACCAAAGCTGAAAGAGTGGTTTTTATCATCAGTACAGTCCCAATCGCAGCCTCCAGAAACACAGAATTAACCAAGTGGGCTGCACCAGTAGTGAAGGAAGGACAGAAAAGTGATTTTTCAGGAGAGGACTCTTGCAGAGGTGTGTTCTGAGAAGGGGGCAGAGGGCTTTCCTGTGTTTTGGACTTCTCAGCCTTCGGTACTCTAGCAATTCTCAACTGTTATTGCACAGCTAAGCTGCCTTGCAGCCTATCTCGTTTGAGGAGCTCCTAGATATTACAAGCTGCCCCTCACTTGGGATCCCTCTCCAGGCCAGTGTCAGTCCCAGTGAGGTGGTTTGTCCTGCTCTGTTACAAAGAGGATGCTGGAAGAAGAGCCTATATAACATACATATGTATATATAAACTGTCTGCACCCAGAGAGCAAATGGTTTCAGCCCCTGCTCTCTGGGCAACAGAAGGGCTAGAGAGGCTGCCAAGCTGCAACAAGCCGGTGTGAGGAGGAAAAAGGCACAAGAAAAGAGCAGCTCTTCAGAGACTGCTGTCAAACATCTGGCTGGGGAAAAGGAGAGAGAGCTCAAATCCACTACGTTCCTTGAGTCTCTGATGCATATGGAATGGGGAAGCCAGCACTGCACCAACCCCACTGGTGCATCCAGGAGGCAACCTGGCGACATCCTTTGGATCTTCAGCTGAGGGCATCTCTGCTTGGAGGTATCCAGGGCACAGCTCGCGAGGATGGGGAAGGATGCACAGAGTGCTTCTGTCCTGAAGGCAGGGAGAGGAGAAGGAAGAAGTCCAAGAGCGAGAAGGCTAGACACATACAGCAGGCCTCATGCTTCCTTCAGTAAGGGAATATCTGAATGGTGGGGAGAGAAATAAAATTAAAAAAAAGAAGTAAAACTTTTGTCATTCAACACACACCAGAAAAACTACTCTTGCAAGACAGGGTCCCGTTTCCATTATGTGATAACACAGCACTCTTCTTGTCATTGTAGCATAGCAGAAGGGACCTCTGGAGGGCCAACCTGCCTCTGCAAGCAGGACCATCACCACCTCCAGTCTTAAAAATCTCAAATGTCAGGCCCCGCACTGCCCTCCTGGCAGGAAATATTTTCCTAATGCCCAATCTGACTCTGTCAAGTTACACTTCATGTTTCACCAGATTAAGCCCAGCTCTCTCCTGGGCCCCCAACTATCTTGGCAGGATTCCAACAGTGCCTGTCCAGTTTCCCCCACCTCCCTCTTAAACTGGAAGTTCCACAAGAAGAAAAAATATTCCCACTAAAGTCTCAGTATTGTGCAGGGAAGGGTAATAACTTCTTTCTCTTCTTTCCCCATGACCTCACCAAACTCTTAGTTTTTCAACATATCTGAGACAAGTAGTTTCTTGCTACATCTGGGGTGGCTGAGGATACACAGATAAAACCTGCCCTTATCTGACTCCTTCAGTAGCTGCAGCTTTCTTATCTTTGAACCAGAAGCACAAGCTTTATGGTTTTCTGTATAGGGCAACCTGTTATGGCTTCTGATATAACTTGCACAATACGTGTTTCCAGGCAGTGACAGAACATGACACAGTGCAGAGGTAACACACTGTGATAAGTATGCTGTGGACTCTTCTAAGAAAGCACCGCTTTTAGGTTTCCACTGTTTACATACTGGAGATTTAATTCCCATCTCAATACACGTTGCCACTTCCACCCTCCAGTGGAAATCTCCATTAATTGTTTTTATTGCAAGGCTTCTGGATGGCATTACTAAGGCTGTAGGGCTTGACACCACAGAAATGAGTTCTACCCTGAGCTATCTACAAGCCAGTTACATCTTTTTTTGTCTGAAGACACAACAGTCTCTGCAGAAGCAATCTTAGGCTGCAGCTTCACACCAGCTCTGCCATTGTAAAGTAACAGCTTCAGGGTAGAACAGTGAAGTTAAGAACACAAGATTCTCTAACTATTAAAGAGACTTGCCCCTCTGCTCTGTACTGTAAGTTCAAACACATCCCTTGTGTTTTTGTGTGTTTTCTCACATGCCTGGGCTGCAGTACCACATGTACTGTGACAATAAGCTGCTTACTAAGATCATCTAAAAATGAAGAAGCTTAAACATTACAAGGGTTTTGTATTTCAAGCATACCCTCCCACTTCCACCAACTTGTTTTGCGTAAATACAGCTACTTTACTGCCTTTGCACAATGATGCTTGAGGTCGTCATTTCTCTGCAAATCGCTTGCTGAATCAAGATTGAGAAATAGAACCCACAGAGGGTGGTGACGCACTGGAACAGGTTGCCCAAGGAGGTTGTTGATGCCCCATCCCTGGAGGCATTCAAGGCCAGGCTGGATGTGGCCCTGGGCAGCCTGGTCTGGTGGTTGGTGACCCTGCACATAGCAGGGGGGTTGAAACTAGATGATCAGTGTGATCCTTTGCAACCCAGGCCATTCTATGATTCTATGAACCCCAGCTTACTCTTTTAAGAGTCTCATATAGCGCTCCTTGCCCAAGTCACATACCATCTGTGTATTCCTCAGAGGAAGTGAGTGATAAAAGGCTCTGTATGTCACTGCTTTCTGAATCTTGGAGTTCTTTCTGTACAGGTCTACTGCTAGCCATCCCAGCTACCCAGGAAGAGGTAGCAGCCTGATGCACAAGAACAGTTTCAGAACGCTGAGAACCACTAGCTTCACACAGTCCAGAGTGTCCGGGGGCTTCATCTTCTCTATCAAGGCTACTGCGAACCCCTTGGTCCTGTTGCTGCATCTCTCTGGTTCCGTTCTGCCCAGCTCCCTCTGACAGCACAATTTGCACCCGGGAGTCCGAGGGTGGAATGCAGTTCCCTGTGCTGCCATACACTGCTTCTTCATAAGATGGCAAGGCCACTTGGACACCATCCACCATGATAGAGACCTGATCCCCAGACACACCTTGGTCTCGCCTCAAAAAAAAAAAAAAAAAACAAAGGGGGAAAAGTTGAGCATTTATATTTTATATATATTTTCATCACCAAGAACCCTGGTAGCCTCCCACCTTCACCACAGCAAAATAATGCTCACTACAAACATGAATGCTGGATTACTGAAGTTAAACAAGCATGGCTTTGAAGCTCTCCTGTGAACTGCCATACACATGATTGGGGCTGTAGTTCAAAGTGACTAAGGTTATACTGTCTCCCACTTCATCTGCCTCAATAGCTAAATCTGACAAAGATCATGACCCAGGGCCTCTGCTGTCGCAGTCCACAGAAAGAAAACTGACCACTGTTGATTTCAGTTTGTTATAGTGCTCTGCTCTGAAACACCAAACACTGTATGTTCTGCTACCTATGCTGTTGGTAAGATAACTGGCTAGCACAGGTAGGTCGGATAGCTCTTCAATTGTTACAGTGTGGATAAACCTAGGTCAATGGGTCAGAGTCCTGAGACTGAATTTGTATTTGCCATACTGGTTTAGACATCTGCAGAAAAGGACAAACTCCTGTGCCTGGCCTCTGAACCTCCCTCAGTGTTGGACAGCCACATCTCTGTTCTTATTTATGAAATATTATTCATTTGTTCTGAAAAAGGACTCCACAGTGACACTTTTGACATCAGCTGGCAGCAGTGTTACAGTTGGGTCCCTTCTCTCATCCACAGACCTAGGCCAGAAGGGCTCTCCTCCCTGTGCAAGCAACCATGGCATATTTGCACATGTACATCATCAGCAATACTGGCAGGATTCAGGACCATAGACAGACTCGGGGAGATGCATATATACCCAGACACCTACTTCAGTAATTACCCATGGCTAGAAGAGGCAGGAGATTGATCAATAGTAGGATTTATAACTTTTAACAGTTAAGGCCACAAAAAAAGGGCAAAGAAACCACTAATTAGATAGCACGATAGAAAAGTGAGTGCAGATGGGTATTGCTGGCCAGCGTTTCAGACTACTGCTGGAGGATCATGGGGCAGAGGTGCCAGTGAAGTGAGGAATACAGCAGTGTGGGGCAGAACATTCATACACAGGCACCTTATTTCTGGGAAAACAGAAGGGAGGCAATGAGGCCAGGCTGTGAAACCCAGACAGCCCTCTGCCTACACAGGTAGCTCACTGCAGCAGGCTAAAAGTAGTCAGTCATGTAGATCTACAGTCTATCAGAACACAGTAGCTTAGATATGACACAGGAACCCTGCCTCTTCTTTCCTGGAAATTAGACTATACTGTTGCCAGTCCTTGTCACCAACCTGCCCTTTGTAATCCACATGTAGGTTCTACTCTACCTGAAGTTTCTGACTGAAAATAGCCTCTCATGGGAATTGCCCTGACTCACAGGGCAGAAGTAGAGAAGTAGGGAAGTAAAATGAAGGCCCCTTGTTGAGTTTCTGCTGCAGAGAAACAGGACACCTTGGAGCCTGTCTAAGCCCCAGCTACACTTACCTGCTGTGATGGAACGACTTCAGCTTTGGCTGCAACAAAACAAACAGCACAACTAAGAGAAGAATCAGAGCGACAGAGCTCGCTGTGGAGGCTACTATGGATAGCGTGGGTACTCCAATCGTTGGCGGGGAGTCCTTTTCTGCAAAATCAAGAGGAACACAAAATGATTCACTCTCTTAAATTACCACTGTAGGAAACGAGTAACATTCACGTTGCCTTCTTTCCAGAGTTATACTTTGGTGCAAAGGTGAAGAGCACAAGTTTCTGGTAAAGTCAAGGCAGAGCAGTTACATCCTTCAGAGTTTAAACTGATCCCTCTCTATCAGCTGTAAAGGAAACATGAAACAAAACATGCACTTATAAGGGTACTTTGGAAAAACAAATGGCACACACAGAAAAAGGATGCAAGCTAGTCACATAGACACAGCGGGGGAGTGGTGGTAAGGGTCATGTTATATTTACACCTGATTGAGTAACAGCTAAACAAAAAAAATGTCCTGATGTCACCACCAAGGTCAGCAATTGTCTAGCACAAAAAGCAGGATATTCTAAAGTTCCAAATAATGGATTTTCTTGACTAACTGAACAGTTTCCCAAAGGAAGGGAGTAGAAGTCACCTGGCCTGCTATTATTTAAGATGCAGAAGTATTCCATTTCTTTCTCACACAAACACATACTGCAGGAAATGGAGAAGGAAGGGAGCTGTTGCTTTAAGACACTGAATTTTCAGTATTAGATACAAATACTCTGTCCACATTATCCCCCTTTGCCCTTTCCTCATCTGTGCTGCGTGACTGTACAAGAAACATTTTGACTTTTAAAGGTCCATTGCAAGGCACAAATATATTAGGAGTTGGCAGAGAAGGGCCTGGAGCTGGCATAGCTGAGCACTGCATGTCATGCCTAGAATGTCACGCTAGTTCTTTCACCTCCTTAGAGTGCATAATTGCCTGTACACGTGCTGTCTCTGTCCTTAATTTATGTCTTTGGTAGATCTCTACACACCTCAGCACCCCATCAGCAAACATTACTGTCCATTTCAGGAAATTCCTACCTATGCAATTCCACAATTTCTTTTTGCTACACTTATCATATTCCCTGGGGAACAGTTGACAAACTGCAGAATAATTACCATATAAAGAGGAAAGAGCACACAAACAGAAGAAAAAAGCTGGAGGACCATTGTTTTTAAGCCACATCCTGCATAAAGCCTGAATGGTATACCCAAAACAGGTAATTTGGAAAGACTATTAGCATTTTATCTTCTTTTTGGACTAAACTTATCGGTTCAATTGTTCTGAAAATTTTCTGGAAACAAGTTCAAAAATAGCTTAAAGTGTCCCCGAGTCAAAGCTGCACCTACTACATTTTCCTTCTGGTAAACAAGACTGAGTAAGTATTTCCATTTTCAAGATTATTCAGGGCACTACAAATACACTGACAGGGAAGAAGTTAGGCAAACAGGAGTGCTCTACATTCAGAACTGATATACAAGTCTGCAAGACTGCTCACCACGCAGGGTACATTTCAGCACATCCACCACCTCAGATTCCAACAGGATGCTCACAAGAAGCTGCCAAAAGGCTGCGAGGCTGACAGGCTCAGAACTACAGAAAATATCTGATAATTGCCGTGGATTTCATTTGTTGCATTTGTATTGTTCATTTGTATGCAACAAGAGAGATGTTACCTATCATCCATCATCTTAAGACCTACCCATTTTCTTTCTACAGTCTCCCTCCTTTTTGTTTTGTGGAAGACTCCTGTTTGTTAAAACTCAACTGACTGAGCAATTGTTTCAAAGCTTGTACTCTGAAAGCAATAGCTTTATCACTCAGCCAGGCTTTTGAAACCCCATATATTTTAAGGCCACCACACCTACAGGATGTTAAAGAAATCTGAAGGACTGCATCTCATCACAATACAATTCCTTTAGCCCTGAAGTAAACCAAGTGCCATTGTGCAGTAACACCAGAGTTCCACTTGCAAAGCTTTCTTCTGCCGCCTGGGTGCAGCAAGGGGAAAGGGGATCGCCATAGAAAGGAAGCTTGTGCTGAATTTGAAAAGCCTCTTCAGGATCCAGTTGCTGCCAGGTGAACTTCCAGTCCCACTTTCTTATACGTCACAGGAAGAGCTGTTGGAGTGGCCGTGACAGATACTGATAGTGTGTTTGGGACAGGACAGGATGTTCTAGAGTTTACAGATATTTAGCTAGTTCCAAAAGGGCCTTGAACATGCTTCTGTATCTATTTCTGATTAAGCTAACACATTCTGCTTTGTGGATTACAAAATATAACCTCAGACTGCACGCATCTTGCTGACTCTGGATGACTGAGCAGTAAAATTCTAACAGTGGGCCATACTTGAAGAGCAGAAGGATTTTCTCTTTATCCAGTATCCATGCTTTAAATCCAGAAAAGCAGATGGCAGATCAGAGCTGCACAACGAATTTTCCTGCAAATCCTTCCACCTTTATGCTTTCATGAAGGAAATCCCATTCAGCTGGTAAAAGCCCATAAAACAGAAAGTGCCCACATCCATTCGGAGAGAAGCAGACACCATTTGTCAGCAATGTCCTTTCCTGCCAGTACAGTGTAAAGTAGCACCACGAAGCTCTCTGCCACAGGAGGCCAATAGTTAGTTAATCTGCAAAGGAGGAGATCAGGTCTGTGTACTGACATGCATATACATGTGGACAGAAGGTTACACCACTGAGGAAGATGCACTGTCAAACCCATCAGGAGCAAAAAATGGAGATCAGGGAAAATGCTTCAGTTTCAAGGCCTCGCCTGTTCTGGGATGAGAGCTGTCAAAGTAAGAGTCCACATAAGAAACAAGTTACTGGTTTTATACTACTTTCCATAGGCTTTCTCTTTGCAGGAAGGACTCCAGAGTTAGCATCTAATGGGAGCTACAGAAGAGGCATTTCTGATAAAGAGCTATGATTGTGAGCTGCATTTATAAAATTGCTGGAGCAGTATGGGTTGCTTCAGCACAACACTGTCTAAAGTGAATCTGAAAAGCCAGTGTAAAGGCCAGTGTAATTCTGAATGTCCCACTGAATAAAATGAGTACTCACCCGGGCTGAGTCTGCAGCTAACTTCCATGGCAGGGTTCCACTCTCCATTCTTACAAGTCAAGTATTTATAGTCTCCTTTCAGCATGTAGCCTTCAACACACAGATACTCTATGACACTGCCTGAAGTCAGAGGGTCATTGCAGGGACTAGGGTGGCATTTGTAGCCGCCATTCTCGGGTTGTGGTGGCTGGGGACAATCTGGAAAAGAGAGAAAGCATTGTAGTAGTTATCTCAGAGGAAGATGTCTGCTGCATATTGCCCATACATTAATTTCCACCTAAAAACACTCGCTAAATTAAGAAGAAACTACTAAAAGCAAGAAGAAAGATTGTCACACAAAAGCAAAAGACACTGCTTAGTTCCACCTCTGATGTGTCTTTTGTGACTGCTAAGTATAGCTTACTACCCAGCCATACAATCTAGATGGCAGGCAACAAACGGATGATATTTTCATACAGTGACATTTAAGTTTGTTACAACAGGAATTCTGCATAAGAGGCCCAGAAAATCCTTGATGTTACCCTTTTCCCACACCAGTTTCAGGAGTGAGTGGGGGTTGAAGCAAACAGCCAGGATCTCTGATTAGCCTTCCAAGCCATAAGGAAGAAGGGCAAGATCTTCTGAAATGAATGAGGAATGCGAAGACCTTGTTGTACTACATGTATAGTGTCAAGGTACAGAGCTGACCCAGAAGTTAAAATCCCTGATTTTACATACTGTCCTGCAGTAGAATCACATTTTCTAACCTATTTAAAAAAAAACAATTAGTTACAAAGATATTTTTAATCTACATGAAGTCTGCAGGGCTGAAAGCACTTTGCATTTCTCTTTGTATCTCCCCTATCCTAATAGATACAGACATATTAAGTGTGAGAAAGTTTCCCATAGAATTTTCAATAGCTATTCAAACAAAAACAAACTACAAATGAGGAAATTGCACTAGAAACAGGAGGTTTGTGCTTCTTAGAATTTCACCTCCTTTGGCAGCTTTTGATGATTGCAGAACAGCCTTAATACGCCCTCATGCCACACACCTACCTGACTATAAGGGAGAAATCTGTAAAATCGGATCAACTTCTCAAGCTTCCCAAAAGAAAATACATGAAACACTCCTCCAGATGTATTTTGGGGCGTGGAGAACCAAGCAACCCACCAACTCTGTTGTACCACAGTGCAGTTATCCAGGCTTGCCTCTAATCCTTGCGTGTGAGAAACCAACTGGGCAAGCTTCAGTTAACTGGGTTTTGTGCAGGGCCTAAGAAGACTGAGAAAACAAACTTTGGAGGTACGTTCCACTACAGAAAAATCTGCTACACTGCTGCAGTGTAAGTGACCCTTGAACCTAATCACATGTGTGGACGCAACATAGGCAATGCCTTGTAAATGCCAGTAAAACCCAAGATGAAGTGCTGAGTGAAGCCAAAAGCCCTGTGGTATGAGTTCTGCCAGCTTTATAACTGCAATTCAATTTACTTTTTGAGAGAAAAGGTTAACAGGGGTCTAAGAAACAGCCTTTCAATAAGACTTTGTTCTCGAGGAGATTTATTCTTAAATAAGCTTCAGAGAAGCCACTGTCCTGTCCCTCCTGAGCACTGACTTGCAGCTTCTAAGTTTATTTTCTTTTCTGTGACCATTTCCAATGTTGTAACCAAGGTTTTAACCCTTTGCCTTACACAGCTAAAACGTGCTTTCACTGAAAGCCCATCCAAAACAGCCAAGTGACAGACTCACCACACATTTCACATCAAAGCACTTCTACAGGACAGAGGCACTTCCTGCTAAATTACAAGGACTCATTTGAGCACTAGAAATATTCTCAACCATACAGCAAGTACCTCTCCAAGCAATGACAGAGAACTGTGGGAAAACCTTCCGTTGCCACAGCAGCAGGGACAGTTTCCCCACATCTCTGATGCCACAGGAGGCATCTGGAATTCTCTGATGCCACAGGAGGCATCTGGAATTGCTTAGGGGCCATCTGAGCCCCTTGCCATGCTGCCTCGCTCCAGCAGGAACTTTCCCACACATGCACACAAGTTTCTCATTTCCGGAGGAGCCCAATGGGCTGCTGGCTCCTCTGCTTTAAGGCCTTCATTAGTCAGATGAGATATGGAGACATGGCTAGCACAGCTTCCTGCAGGAAGTTTGTACCTTTGGGTGCTGTAGAGGGTCACGCAGAACAATACGCTCTGTTGAGGACACTAAAATCAAATCTTAAGTTGGTAGATCCAGAGAGCTGCTGTTCAGAGGGCTGAGGAGTGACCAGCTCAGCCCAACCCAGCAAAGGAAGCTTGCTATTTCTCAGCAGCATTCACGTGGTCTCCGCTCTCCAGTTGCAGCCAGAGCTCCTTCTGTCACCCATGTGTGCTGAGTTATCTTCAAAAGTCAGCTAGCAACCAAAAAGGCACTCACATACATCGTAGTGAAACTCTCAAAGACCTGCAAATACCATGGCATAAGCAATCCCATGGGGCCCTAATTTGGCTTCCTTGTGCAGGTGCTTTAGGACCAGATCTGCAGCTATGCCACTGCAGACAGATCTGCTCCCCACCACCTCCACAGGCTGCTCAGCAGCAAAGGAAAGGGCAGCTACTCTTTATGTGCTCAGCCCCTTGACCTACAGCTGTCCTCATCCATGAGTGCTTCAGAATCAGTCACCCCCCTTTTCCTCCTACCTCTCCCTGAGGGCACTTGACACAAAGAACACCACATACACTTCAAAAAAGACACCTTCACTCTGAACAGGCCTCTCCTGGCCACACACATGGATGGATGACACAGGCAGAAGGGAAGAGCTCTCTATCAGCAGCCTGGAGCGGGGCCATGCTGTGAAGGAGCAGCGCAAGGTCTGGGAGCAGGGAAGCTGCCCCAGTCCTTCTACCAGCTCCCATTCCCAGCCAGGCTGCGTGCTTTCAACCTTCGGTGAGGTCTGCATGCTGCTGCCCAGCCTCAAGCAAACGTTACTTTGGCACACTGCCCAATGCTTTCTGAGCCACACCAACCAAACAACGGAAGAGAATTTTTCAGTATTTCAGCCCCAGCTGGGGCAGGACAGATTTCAAAGGATACTGCAAAACCAGCGAAGGCAGATACACTCTTTGCAAGTTTTCAAAGGCAGGTGGCACACGGTGGATACATTGAAGCTTCCGAAAAGATGACAAAAATTCCTCTTAAGTAGTCGGACACTTAAGAACAGATATTGTAACCACATACTCACTTCCCAACAACACTCGCTTAGATTCTCAATGGCATTAGCTTCTACTTGAAATACAAAGAAACACAGAGGAGCATCATCATCTCTCTCCCTGAACACAGCGTTCTTGGAAGTACCCCGGAGTTTGAGACTTCTCGAAACAAACACATGTGCCAGGCACCGAGGAAAAACAGAGACAAGTTAAGAAGTTATCAACTTCTTAGGGGGTTTTGACATCCCAGGCTTGCAATTGTCTCAGCACCATCATCTGTCATGATCCGAGGATGCAAGGGGACAGTGGTTTTGAGCATCACAGTCTTTTGCACAAAGAAGGGAGAGCTCTACTCCCCGAGGCTCAGTTTCTAAGAGGTACTGACGTTTGACCTCTCCTGAGAGCTGGTTCTCTGCCAACACACAGGGCTGGAAAGCAGGCAGGAGATAACCGGTGAAAAGACCAAACGTTTTCCGCATCACTGAACTCTGTTCAGAGATAAAGCAACTGTCACTTCCAGATTGATGGACAGAAATAAAATTACGTACTAAGTTTCTGCAGATGCCATTCCAAAATATTAGGTATTTAATATATTGCCCACGAAAATGCAAGACAAGATTTCAATACGTAAATAAAAAAATACTATGCCAGTACGAACCTCCATCCAGCCTCCTATCAAATCAAATGGTAAGCACCACTTCTGTGTCTACATCACATGAGAAAATACCATCCTCCTTGAAATGAGCATTAACTGCATATATATTCTTTGGATAACAGTGAGCAACTTGGCAACAAGCAGCGTTGTATTGCACTGCAAGGAACTGCTTTTCTGCTGTAGCTACAAGCAGTGTCATTGCACTGGTACCTTCACAGGCTTCCTCACTCATGGCTTCAACAATACCCACTTGCTTCCTCTTAGACCAGACCTGCAGGCAGCTGTGATGGGTTGGAATATGGCCAGACGTCAGAAGGCCAAACTGATTAACCCAATCACCAAAGAACGAAGTGGATCTTCCACAGCTTGGCTGCGCTGAAGCTGAGCCATAATCCTGAGCCTCTGACCAGAGACAGCGCTTCAAAGTGCTTCTAACAACTTAAAAGCTACACAGAACCAAGCACAGACAATACCACAGATGCAAGAAAATAACTTTGTGGGATGACGGAGTGGGGGGGTAATGTATTCAAAACACAGAAGAGGCACAGCTGAGCCTTGATCTCTCTGAGCAGAATTCAGAGATGAGCAGATTTCCCAAACCCACGCATGATCAGACTATCGTGTCAAGGAACAAGCACAATACAGTCCACTTACACATACAATATAAAATTAAAATATACTTAAATATGACCAGACTATTACCACGGATGTAAGATGGCTGCACAGTACTGACCTGCTTAGCGCAGACTTGGTATGCTATGGCAGCGTTAATAAAGGCATCTCACCACAGCTGTTTTAGCCCAAGCTGGTGGTTCTTTGCACTCTTTTTGTTTCTTTTTATAAGCATCATCTCTTAGGCCCTAGCAGGGGTCTTACATCTCTTTCTGCACCAAACTCTCAAATTGTATTTCAGCCACTCACCTCCTTTGCTGAGTAGTCTGACCCCGCAGAGATGATGAAAACCAAACCCTCCTCAATGCAATACATTCTTGCAAGACGACAAATACTAATCATCATCAGCTGGAGTGCGTAACTGGGTTTGTAACTAAGCGATAACAAACCACTGCATTGCTCACCTTACGTGGGTGGACAGATTGGGAAAACATTGCTCAACAAAGGGATGTTATGCACTGAACATAGTAAAATTTATTATTATTCTCCACAGCAAAGCATAAAAATCACCGAGGGTAGGACAGGAATAGTTTTGACAAATCAAAGTTACTGCTCATATTACATCCAGTCCAAATTCCAATAACTTGAAGAGGAACTGGGCCTCATGTCAGCTTGTCACAGACTACATGTTTGTTCCAGCATGTTTGACAATCCTCACAGCAGCATCTTAGAATGCTGACCAATCC